ATCATAATTCCAAACTGGTGTGGGATTGTCTGTGACTTACGCCTTCACTACGAAGCCTTGTACTTAGAGACAGAAGCCAAATACAAGAGGCCACATCATAAATATGACATCTTGGGAAAGAAGAACTATGGGAAACAAATCAGAGCAGTGACTTCCATGGGGAGTGGGCATCACAAGAGGGTGAAGTACGACGAACAACTTATGAAGACACAGAAACCTCCCGCATTCTCATATCATTCCCAGAAGTCACCTGACCAGGAAACACCACCACATGTAAGATAATCCTTAAGAGTTCAGCATCGCTATATCGTAACTGGCACATAATAATTGTCTGCAGCTATGGAGTACATTGTAGTCTTTTAATACATATGTATGTTAAATAATGACTAAATCAAGGTTATTCTCACCCCCAACACTTACATTTTTTAAAATGAGAACATCCAAACACCTCTCTTTGATCTAGTTTGAAATATTCTACACAATATTGTTAACTACAGTCATCCTCCTGGGAAGAGATACGCGAGCATGTGTGCCAATACAACGGTAAATTGGTTTATGCTTTTCCAGGAATTTAATGGGCAACAAAATGCTTCTGAAATTAAGAAAAAGTTATAAAAGTAGGGTTATGCTCAGGACTCCTGTCCTAAGAATCATTTGTTTACATATTAGTGACATCAAGCTCTAATTTGCTTCCATAATAATTTGTGAATTTTTTCCCTTGAATTAAAACACTTTTCTTATAAAAATAAAGGGACTTGTATATATCATCTCTGTACATATACAATATATTCAAAATCCTACAATTATTAAAATATTTATAGGGGAAATATTTATAAATCTGCTCACTAAAAAGAAACTTCTTCAAACCCGTGTGGGGGGGGAACAAAAGGAACCATTTTAAAATAAAAACATTGATGTCTTAGTTTTGCCTTCCACTTTAATAATAATGACTTTGAGTTCTACATTTTAATATCCCGGTAGCTTTTAGTGGTATAAAGTTGATATGAAAAGGCTCCTGAGACTCAGTCCTCCCCTATGGCTTATGTATGGACTTTAGAGCTCATCGTGAGCACTGTCAGGAAGCAGAGACTGTACGTGGGACAGATGCACACTAATGCTCCACACAGGGCACCATGGCACTCTGTTCTACAAGGTGTGCACCTAGAAGAAGGCCATTAAAAGAGACGCCAACCAAAGTCCATTTCAAGGACAACCAACTACAGAGACGGTCCCCAAGCTCTGCAGATACACATCTGGTGTGAATATGCCACAACCTGGGTGTCAGGTACACATGGAGGCGTCAGGTACACATGGAGCTCTGGCCCTGATGCTCAGTCTGTGGTCCCCAGATGAGGAAGACACAGCCGGGGAGACTGGTTCCCTAGCAGGGTCTACAAATGCAGTGGGCGAGTATGTCTGCATGGATGACTCCCTACCTCCCGAATCCTTCAGACTGAGGCTCCCTGTCAAACTGCCTTTTCATTTCATCATATATTTCCTTATTCTCTTTATTTCATAACTGTCCTTAGCACTTGTCTCCACTGTCAAATCACCTGGCATGTGATAACTAGTCCCAACATGCTCTATCTTTCAGAATTAATCCTCAGACATTAATATAATCAATTATATCCCAATTTTATCCCAAGATAAACTGTTGTCATTACTATTTAAAGTGTTATAAACCTGGAATCCATGTGAAAAGAAATGGTGCCTTCGGCCTGGGATGTCAGCAACGACAAGATGTGAGGCACAAACCCTGAAAGTTTGTGCACCAGCTAGGCTGGCCCTGCATGGGGAAGCCCCCCGGGGCCCATAAGAGAGCCCATCTCAAACAAAAGGTGGAAGGTCCCTGAGGTGGTCCTCTGACCTCTGCATGTGTGCAGTGCACTGTCACCTACACACGTGCACACATTCACACAGTCACACATCCACTGACAACTTTAGATGAGGGTCTAAGGCACTAATCTCACCGGTTTACAAAAGAGAGAGAGAGAAAGAGAGAGTCTCTACTACTTCAATTCGGCCACATACCAAAGCAGAGTGTGTGGCTTCCAACAAGCACAATTTTCAAGGGCAAACAAAGTATCATAAAAGCATTAACTAAAAAAAGTTCTAAATAAGGAATGTAATCTACTGTGAGCCAACCCACGTGGGGCTTGTGCCATGGCAGAGTTTTTGCATAGACAACACACACTAGAAAAGACCACTGTACCAACTAAAGTCGGCCAGACTAATCCTAGAGACATTTTCTAGTTAGTCGAACCTGACTTCAAAAAACTGAAAGCAAAATATTTTCAAGATAGCTTTGCTAATATCTGTGATGGTTGTGCTTTCCCCCACTGGTGTCTACCATCCAGGCAACCTCCGCCTGCCGACTCCGCAGTCAGGGAAATACGGAAGCCTTGGGGCCAAGGGTTCTCCTCTGTGGAGAATTCTAACAAGAGGAGACACTGAGAACGTTTTGACGATTAAAATGGCACAGACTTTGCCGAACTGAGATGAAAGGGGCCAAGTGGACACTGCCCAGATAGTACTCAGAGGGAGCGTGGCAAACACAGAATACGGTCAACAACCAAACTCACAAGATTTGGTCTTGTTTTGTTCTAGGTTTGAGCTGTTCAGTGTTTTCTCTCCAAAAATGCAAAAATAAGAATTACTGTTTTCACCTCCAACTATCTTCTCTCTCTCTCTCTCTCTCTGTCTCTCTCTCTCTCTCTCTCTCTCTCTCTCTCTCTCTCCTCTCTGTCCTCTCTCTCTCTTCTCTCCCCCACCCTGCCCTCTCTCTCTCCTCTCTCTTTTCTCCTCTTTCCTCTCTCCTCCCCCCTTGCCCTCTCTTCTCTCCTCTCTCTCTCCTTTCTCTTCTTTCCTCTTCCCTCCTCTCTCTCCTTTCTCTCTCCCCCATCTCCTCCACCTCCTCTCGATTCTGACATCTGGAAACCATAGTAGGTGTATTTCCTGAGCAACTGAAACATCTGAGCAATGAGCCAGTTCAAGGGTATTCAAGTTTAGTTGTTTGTAATGAAGTTTAGTTGTTTGTAATGGAAATAGCCTGAGACCTCCCAATCAAAGTTGTGGTTTAATCTTTCTAGGACATACTTTAAATGGCTAAGCAAGAAATGCTTGTATTAGAATTAATAAATCTCAAAAACATGACCATTCTTGTCAAAGGGTACATGGCGCATCATATCTTAATGCACATAGGTTGGTCCTGTGTATTTTATGACTCTAAATAAGTTCTCAGAGAGTGAGGGGAGAGTATGGACCCACCCAAAATGCAGCCTTAAATATTCCCCCTTCAGTGAATATTTCCCCCCTCATCTGCAGCCTTAAATCCTGGGACTACAACACTCATTACAGATACCGTGTCTCTCTCTTGGGTATAAGTGTGTTTTAGTACTGTCTGCTTTTATAAACATTATGTGCTTAAAGCAGTGGACTTGAGTCCATAAAAGGCATTTAAACCTGCCACTCTCCCACGGCCCGTGTCTGCAAGTCAGAATTTTCCATACTTTCAGAGGACTCAAAGAGAGACTAGGGTCTGGCCTGCTTTGGTTTTGAAGACACCAATGATAAACCACACTTTCTCATTTACTTTGGCGATGGAGATTAATAGGACCCGATTTCCCCTCGACATGAGTGTGATTTTATTATGTGTCTATCATAAGAATCTGGCCTTGAGGACAGCCTCTCCTCGCAGGATGACACACGCCAAATTTGCATAACTATATTCCCGACTGATCTATTTACTCAACAAGTGTTTGTTTGCAGCCTACCCTCTCTGACTCAAAAACAGAATTCTGTACCCACTGCTATAATTACACACTATTAAGACTGCTTGAAGTGAAAGATACCGCTGGGGTTCGGCTGGTGACCTCTGCTCCGCTCCTGGGTCTAAACTTTAAGTGTTTGATCCACATAGGTTGTTCAGACATGGAAGCAGATAGTCACTGAGAGATTCAACGTGAAGCCAGACATCGACACGCAGCCCACTAACTTGGAGTGTCCCCATCCATTTTAGAAACTAGAAAACTGAAGCAAAGGTCCTTTTCCAACGCTGGGACCAGGGACTGAAAGTCCCTCCTTAAAGCACGATCCAGTGCTAGGCCTGAAGGTCTAAGATTAGAGTGTACACAGAAGGCCAAGCAACCCCGGGGAACCGCCCGAGCCTGGGCCCCTCCCAGGGTGGCTAACGCTCAGCTCACGCTTGCGCGCTGAAAGACAAGAAGGGAGCCCGGACAGGAGCCAGATCTGATTTCCAAAATAAGCTGGAAATCCGAATTTTTATGTAAGATTTCTTATTCTTAAACGCTGGAAACATTCAAAACTTTAAAACATGCCATGTGCGCCAAACAAAACACGTCTGTAGGCCACGATCCAAGCATTGGTCACTGTTTTGCAACATCTACTATTAAAAAAGTCAGTCTGTGGCTCCTCTCGGCTCATTTAACAGCCCCTGCAGGAAAGGAAACAAAATGACATTCAGAGTTGCCCCCATGTTTGTGGCATTTCAAGTTAAATGTTCACTGCTGGGATCAATTTAGATAAACAGTAAAAATTGGAAACCTTTGTTTCATATGCATTACAAATATTGAGAGAGAAGCAGACAGAGTCAGGGAGGGAGGAGCTACAACCAGGCTGGCCTACAACTCACTGTTCTGGGATATCCTCCCGAGAGTCGGTAACAGGTGCTCCTTACCACGCCTGGCTAGTTTATAACTCTGAGGAATGAAAAGGACCAAGAATAAAAGTGTCTGTCTGGTCTGTCTGTGAGGAGTCTGGTATGAGGGGAGGAGATGGGGAGGCAGGAACAGAAGACTAGGCCTCAGCATGCTAGGAAAATGTCGTCCCCCCCACCCCGGGAGGGGGCCTGCTTACTGCCTCCAGGCTTATTCATTCAATTCTGTCTTTTCCTGAAATCCTGAGAGTAGGGGCTGACTCGACGGGCTGTGCAGAGTGTGGGGGAGCCTAGGGAGGTCCAGGCACAGTTCTGCTTAACAAGAGAAAGTAGCGTTGGCCAGTTGTTTTGTTTTTAGAGTTTCCTCCTGTGGTGCAAACGTCTTCCATTGCAGCGCCACAGCCCTGCTGAATCACGTGTGGTCAGTGTGCCTCCTGCTCAGGTAAAGCTTGGGGGTTGTAGCCGTCACCTTCTTGTTGACGCAACAGAACACCATGACCAAGGCAACCCCTAGAAGGAATTGTCCATTTAGGCTTACAGTGACAGGAAGAGAAGGGTCCATCCCCATCACAGGGTAGCAACATCCATAAGAAGAGTGAACAGAAGAGCAGTAAGTGAGGGATTTGTTAGTCACAAAGTCTACTCCCAGTGACATACTTTTTCAAGCAAGGCTATACCTCTTAAGCCTCCTGAAACAGCATCACCAAATGAGGATCAAGTATTCAAATGCTTGAGACTACGGGGACACTTGGCATTCCAATTACCACCTTCCATTTCCTGGTCCCCAAAGTCTTGTGGCCATATCACAATGCTAAATGCATTTAGTCCAACTTCAAAAGTCTCCATAGACTTTTACAGTCTCAACCCCTGTAAAGCAAAAGGAAAATTACGTAATTCCTTAAAATGGCACAAAATATGCATAGCCATCCCTAAAGGGAGCAGAGGTGGCACAGTGAGGAATTGATGGGCCAAAGAAAGACCAGAGCCTGGTAAGATGCATTCCAAATCATGTAGCTCTGTGTTGGGGGTTGGGGATTTTAGTTTCCTCTGGTTTAGATGGTTCTGTCCCTCCAGCTTCCCTGTACACAACATGCATCTCTCCTTCTTAGGTTAGTTCCACTCCCTGACACAGATCTGCTTCCATATGTCTCATGGCTCTGTCATTTCCAATATCTTGGGGTCCTCAATGCCACCCAGAGTTCACATCTACAGTTTCAAACAGGGAGCTCCCAGGATCTCTGACCTCAGGGTCTTCGTGTAGCGCTCCCCTGACGTACATGCCTGGTCTCATCAGCTCTCTGAAGTCACAGAGGAAGATTCCACAAGCTCTACACGAATGTAGCCTTTATGATTCTAAAGACAGAATCACCAAGATAACACAGCTTCAGATGGATCCTTGGTTCCTTGAGTGACTTCTGCAGAAGGTTTTGTTTGTTACTCTTTTCTAGGAACAGATAATTCCCTAAATCTTTCACAGGTTGGAAGCTTAGCTGGGCAGGGTCTTGCCCCAAAGTGCCCTTCCTATATTTCAGGGCAGATTGGGCCTTCCTTGCTCTCCTAATTTCGTCCAACACCAGCCTCTATATGGCACCAAGTTTCCCGGGGCTCTCTCTTCAAACTGTGCATTTGATATTCTCTTTGTCCTACTTACTCTTTTTCTCTGTAGACCAGAACAACAGTCAGTAATAACAACCTCACCACAATGTCATGCTGGCTTGAAATTCCCTCTGACAAAGAAGTTACTTTTCAATTTAGTCTCAGGCACATTTTTAGAACAAAAGTAGAAGGCAGCCACATTCTTGGTCAAAATATCCCCCAAAATGGTCTCTAGTCTGCTTGCTCATCTTCTTCCTCTCTGAAACCTCTTGGAATAGAATCACTGCTCTCCGCACTGCTGTCTTCCAGGCTCCTACTAGAAAGGCCCATTATGTCATGCTTACAGCACTCAAGGGCTAGTCTAGCCCAAACTCCCCAAATCTCCCACACTCCTCCAAAAAACATCACGGTCCCATTCTTGACAGTAACAGCCTTCTCTCAACAGCCAACTTCTGTATTAATTACTTTTATATTGCTATGAAAAAAAACCACACCTAAGAGAGCCAACAGAAGGGAGGAGTCCTTTGAACTTACACTTCCAGGGCAATAAAAGCTCATTCCTATCACAGGGAAGTGAAGGCATGGCAGCTGGAGCAGCATCTGAGAGCTCACATCTAAAACCACACACAAGAGAGAGAGCTCGCATCTAAAACCACACACAAGAGAGAGAGAGAGACAGAGAGAGAGAGAAACAGAGAGAGAGACAGAGAGAGAGAGAGAGAGAGAGAGAGAGAGAGAGAGAGAGAGAGAAGAGAAAACAAGCTAGCAATAGGTGAGGGATCTTTCATCTCAAAGCCTGCCCTCAATGACATATTTCCTCCAACAAGGCTACACCTTCTGAAACTCTCCAAATAATGTCACCAACTGAGGACCAAGTATTCAAATGCCCAAGACTTTGGGAGATACTTATCACTCAAACCACCACAGAGGAACATTGAAAACTTAGCAAAGACCGTGAGAGATGCAATCTGAAGTGCAGTTACTGTCCACATGAACCAGCACTGAGATGGTTCCAGTCCAATGTCCCAAAGCAGAGACCTCCCCATGGCCCATTTCTAGTCCACCCTGGCTACTATCATTCTCTGACCACAACAAGCCATTCTACCACCACCACCCCAAACCAAGAAAATAAAAATGAGCCAAAGACCAGGCTTCCATGGGACATTTTTCTTTCTTTTTTTTTAATGTTACCCATAAATAGTTTAATTTTATTTCCAAATTAAGTTAGCATTAACTTTGAGAACACACACACACACACACGTGTGGGAGGATTGATTGTGACAAGCTTTCTTTCTGTAGCCCTGGCTGTGCTGGAACTTGTTCTGTAGACCAGGCTGGTCTCAGACTCTGAGATCTGCCTGCCTCTGTCTCCCAAGTGCTGGGATTCAAGGCGTATGACATCACACCTGGCAAGAAGTTTTATATTATTAAACATATTAATAAAGCCACAACTAGCACAGTTAAAATTTCACTTTTTAACATCATATTTATTTTGCGTGTGTGTTTGTGAGCATATATGGCCGTAACACACACGTGGAGATCAGGGGACAACCTGCAGGCATTGGTTCTCTCCTCCTACTGTGTGTGTCATGGGTCCTGGGGATCAAGCTACAATCATCATCCTTGACATCAGGTACCATGCCCTGCTGAGCCGTCTCTAAACAGACCATTACCCCTTCGAGTCAGATGTGGCACAGAAAACATACTGATTGGAACATTTGGTTTGTAACAGACTGATGTTCTGTACATTCCTGCTTTACAAGATGAGCTGAACCATCATTCAGCAGAGAGAACGGTAACACAAGACCTGTTGTGGAATAATCTTTTTGTACACTGTAAAAATGTGTCACTTGGATTGGTTTAATAAAAACTGAATGGCCAATAGCTAGGAAGGGTTTTGGGGACAGAGAGGATTCAGGGAAGAAGGGTAGAGTAGCAGCCCAGACACAGGGGAAGCAGGAAAGCAGCATGGGCGGTATAGAGTAAGGGTAATAAAGCCACAAGGCAGAAAGTCAATTAACAAAAGTTTAAGTTATAAAAACTGGTTAGAAACAAGCTGAGCTGGTGGCCAAGTTTTCATCATAAGAAGACTCTGTGTGTTTATTTGGGAGCTTGCTGAAGGGACAGAAATACCTGCTTACAAAGACCTTCCCATGTATCTTCTGTTCTAATTTGCTTTCTGCTTCTGTGATAAACACTATGACCAAAGAAATTTGGGAATGAATTATTTAATTTTGCAGTTTATAGCCCATCATAGAGAGGGCTATTCAAGGCAGAAACCTGGAAGCAGAGGCCATAGAGAATGCTGCTTACTGGCTTGCTATCCATGGTCTGCTGTGCTTGCTCTTATATAACCCAGGACCTCCTGCATAAGGATGGTACCTCCCATGGAGGACTGGACCTTCCCACATCCGTTATTTTTTCCCTTATTTATTTATTTATTTATTTAAAGAATTTCCACTTCCTCCCCTCCTCCCAATACCCTCCCGCTCCCCCCACTCCCTCTCCTCCTCCCTCACCATTCCCAAGAGCAGTCAGGGTTTCCTGCCCTGTGAGAAATCCAAGTTCCTCCCCCTTCCCTCCAGGTCCAGGAAGACCAAGATCCCAAAAAGCCAGTTCATGCAGATGAAACAAGACCCAGTGCCATTGTCAATGGCTTCTCAGTCAGCCCCCATGTCAGCCACATTCAGAGAATCCAGTTTGATCACATGCTCGTTCAGTCCCATGGGACATTTTTCAAAGAGAAACATTTGATAGGGATTTAGACTTTGGCCGCCCCTTTACTACGATGGAATCTGTCTTACATCAATGAGTGGTTTCCATGACAGATGCACAGATGAGCTCATCCCTGAAATGTGTGCTCTCTTTGTAAGCACTTCAAGAGATGTAGGGGGAAAGAGACAGCTCCACTGGTCTCTAAGATATTACTGCTTGATCGCTGTTCTCACAGTGTTTTAAATGAAGAGAACAATGCTCACAGCTCTGTGTATAGAAGGGATGTATACAGGGGTGTGTGTGTGTGTGTTAGTATGTGGGGGCTAAGTGTACATGTGGAAGATGTGGAAGGTTATGGTGGGGGAGATGGAAGCTGTATTAGGGGGTTAGTTGTGTAATACGTATACAAGATGACACTCCGGATGATCCATTCTCCGTACTCTGTGATCCTAAGGTTAGCCTTGACACTCTTATAGGTACCATTTCTTGGGGCAGCACTCGTGAGCTCATCCCAGTCTTCAGCACCACAGCTGTCTGAATGAGCTGAGATGCCTGCCAAGGACTGCAGTTGGGCCAGAAATTCATGCCCTGGAATGGGTTGTGTGTGTGCAAGAGAAGAGTTACTAACACCTGGAGTGGGTTGTGTGTGTGAAAGGGAAGAGTTACTAATACCTGGAATGGGTTGTGTGTGTGCAAGAGAAGAGTTACTAATACGTGGAGTGGGTTGTGTGTGTGCAAGAGAAGAGTTACTAATACGTGGAGTGGGTTGTGTGTGTGAAAGGGAAGAGTTGTTAATACCTGGAGTGGGTTGTGTAAGTTCAAGAGAAGAGTTACTAATATTTAAGCTGGCACTAGAGAACAGAATGCTGCTGTGGAGGACCTGACTTACTAATATTTAAGCTGGCACTAGAGAGCAGAATGCTGCTGTAGAGGACCTGACTATGGTGTTTTGGGGAAGGAAAGTAGAAAATTTAGGGACTTTGAACTATAAAAGGGCACTCCAAAAGCGGGATGTGATATAAGACCCACAATGCATTCCTAACCCTGAAGTTATGAATCATAATGTAGGCTTTATTCTCATGCTTATACACCTATGGCAACCCTAAATTTTGCAAATAGGCACAATAAGAGATTAGCAATAACTACTGTTAAAAAAAGAATAATTACAGCAACATACTATAGTAGGTTATATAGTTATGTGGATTCTCTCCATCCACCCATTTATCTATCCATCTACTTTATCATATTATACTGAGATGAGATGGTTGTTTGGTACACTATTAACCTCCGATACTGAAAGTTCAGAGAGTGAAACCATAGTAAGAGAGCACTGTTGACTTCAATCGTAAACTTAGCATGAGAGGGGGAAAGGATCTGTGCACAGCCAAAATTTTCTCTAGCATGAACTTAAGAAAAGGAAAGAATAACATTCTGCAACACACACACACACACACACACACACACGCACACACGCACGCACACACACATGCACAAACTCACAGGCAAGTTCTCCTCTTCTGAATTCCTACTCTGAAATGTGAATTTTAAATTGTTAA